TTTCGAGCGAGTGTCGAAGCAATTGATGATATAAGTGCCGACAATTACAAAGGTGCTTGTATCAAAGCTTTCCTCGTACATGAACAGCTAACTGCTCAGAACCTAGATGTAATACTTTCGGCTGCTGGTACAATGCATTCTAGTGGTGATATGCAAGGTGTTTTCTTGGAGTTGATCCGAAATCGGTATTTGAATGCAAAACATCTGTCGTCGATTCTCTATGGAATAGCAGAGATAAGCAACGACTCACACAAGAGTTTTGTGTTGTGCCAACTGGCACCACGATTACCCAAGAGCAATAGTAATATAAGAGAAGCATACTTCGAAGCAGCTAACTCAATATATTCAGATAAGCAAAAGGCAGCAGCATCAATGGCGTTTGTATAAGAATGAATTGTCCATAACTCTTCATATCTTTTCGGCTTCGTGAATAAATAAATAGAGAGAGAGAGGCTGCGAGAACGACTAGCATGTAGTAAAATAGAAAGGTTCCGTTCCAGTTGAACTCAAATAAAAGTGCATTCTAGAGAAACAAGAAGAACATTGGAGGTAATGCAACGAGCTCTTGCTCATACATGATTCAAACAATCCAGGAGCGTCGAGATTTGCTATGAAACGTTGACGTTTGAATACACCGTAAGAGTGAGTTCTGTAATTCAACAGTGTTTTAAAAGCTTGAATGAAATTAAAAATATCAACCTAAGTTGACGATTTTATTATGTACTTTTTATTGGATGCCAATAGCTGCTCGATTTCATTCATACTGAATGGTAAATCTAAGCTCCACACAGGATTTATAGAAATAGATTAAGAGAGGATTGTGAGTGCTCATTGTGCATCAGAATATTTCCATTATTATCTAGGAAAAATGACGTCGTCTTTCTGTCGAATAAAAGTTTTTTTACGCATTTATTATCAACAATATTAGTACCCTAATTAATAATGTATTCTTACTAAATAATATCTCGTTGAATAATCGTATACTTATTGAATGCGCACTATACAATGGTGCCACGTTTTTGACAAAAACTAGAGCAAATTTATTGTTTCCCGATTCATCTTCATTGTATCGTTTTGCGTCAAAAGTAGTGAGGTATTCATGACCCTCTACATTAACAAGAGTCTAATTCAAACAATATAGTTGTTCAGATAATATCTATTTTAGATTTTAGTCATTAATCAACATAAACCACCAATGCAGCACAATGATTTTTGAACAACCGTAATCGTCGAACATCTTCGAAGTTTTCTGATATAAATCATCTGGAAAAAATTTGTAAAGTCTCTAGTTGCTAGCAACTGCGCGCTCACACAGTAATTGTAATTAGAGTGTCCTTGGCTGCTATAATTTTTTTCTCTTTCATTCTTATGCCTCCAAACACGAACTAATCCTTCTCTTCTCATATATAATAACATTTTTAATTGACTCTAATTTAAAATCAACACGTTTATTGCGCTTGATGGCCACCGAGTGTTAGTTCTACATGAGACGCTATGAGATATAAATGTATAACGATAATATACACTTGTTTCTAGATTTCGCTATAACACATCATATTGCTACTGTATAAGAACGAGAATATCAGTATGTAACCGGAGGACAGACCTGACGATGAGTTAGTCTTTTTTGCCCTTTGCGAAGAGAGGGTTGTGGTAACAAAAACCTTTCTCATTATTTTCTTATCCTAGATTCGACTTATTATATACTCATCCTCTTCGTCTTCAAAAACATCAATGACTATGATCAAGAGTACTACCTATATCATTCTAGCGATTTTTGTATTGATTTGTGCATCGATTGCATTTCTCGTGTCCGTTGGAGTACTTTCTCTCGTTGTATTCCATCGACAACGAACTCGTAATAGTACATCAATTCTTCTCATCTGTAACACATACATCTCAATTTTATTTATTAGTTTTATCATGCTTAACATGTATGCTTACAACCTGTTTGGTGATCTACGTGAGAATATTTCGTTTGTTGCCGATTGGTGGTGTTATGGACGTGCTTATCTACTGTATGTTTCATTCGTAACATTGTACCATTCGTATATTTTACAAGGTGGTTTTCGCTTTTGTCGCATTGTTTTACATAAACGCAAAAGATTTGTCGCATTTTATTTTATGCTACGAGTAGTTCTAATTCAGTGGTTAATAGATTTTCTTTCTATGGTGCCAGTTCTGTTTGACCGTCACTTCCAGTATATTCCTGATTATTATTTTTGTCAATTGTTATATACGGATCTTCGAGTACTGGCACCAATCGGTGTTCTCATTTATTATTCATCAATAATAGCGATTGGGATTATGTATGTTTATATTATCTACTATATAAGAAAGTTTAAAAGTCAATCGATATTACAAAACCGTCAATTGTCTAATCAACGTGATCTCGCTGTTCTTCATCGAAGTATGATTCTAGTCTTCATACCTATTTTTCTTTCGTTTCCTCCTTTTGTGTTATGGATGAGCTCTATTATCACGGGCTATTTACATCCAATGATTTATCATTTACAATGGCTGACATTTATGTTCTCACTCGTACTCCTTTCGGTCTTAATAGTTATTATGACACCACACTTATGCATATTGTTAAAGATGACATGGAAACGAAATCGGCGTATTCAGCCTATCGTGTATTTGAACGAAAAGGCATGAAACGAACGATTATACTCTCACTTATAATATTTTCGTTTTTATAGAACAGCATATTGAGAATAAAAAAATGTTTCTCCATAAGGATGTTAAATAAGAACTGTGTCAATAAAAATGGCGCACGAAAGTATTTGACTACACTCTTGCATACTATTTCTGAACACTAGACACGTACTCAAATGCATCAGTAATAAATTCTCGACTGAAATTACGTATATGCTCATCCTACTTAAGACATCTGTTACATTACTAAATGTTGTCTCTACGAGAAATAAATTCACCTCAAGTCAATCAACAGATGTGCGAATTATTCAGCCAGTATTCATAATATAGACTGGATACAAGTAGAAAGTACACAGAATATCGGAATAGCTTTGCTCTTTTTTTTCTCGATTAGTTATTATAAGAGAAATATCATTGGATTATTCGTCCCTATTGACCGGAATGATCTTGCAAGTTTGTTCAAAGTTATCCAAAAAAAAAACTTTTAGTTATTGTTTTATATAAAAGTGAATAGAAAAAAAAGGAATTTATTGCTGTGTTTGGATGTGAAGATTGGCACAACGATGACATAAACTCTTCTTATATCTGTACTATGATTTCAAAAGCAAACAACTTCATCGTTCTGTCCAACATGAGTCCTTCTTCAACAGTTCCGTCAATTAGCTACAATCTCAACACTCGACCAAATGTTCGCATTGCAGTTTTGTTGACAAGTAATTAAAATGACAAAAATATTTCTCCTTAGATCAGTTTCATATGACTGACGAGCTTTTGCATTGAAATACACTTAATATGCCACTATAAATAACTAGACACAGATCATATTGCTCGCTATGAAGAGTATCAAAATGTACCTTATAATGAATTGAATTTCAATGATATATTAGAGATGAAGAATAATGTTCGGATAAGATTTATATTAACTTATTTAAGATTTCAAACTGCATGCTGCAACAATTTTGTACTGAAGCAGTCTTGAACTTTTCCTCTACAAAAGAGAGATTCTGCAATATCTTATTGCTCAGTACATTAAACTTTACTCTCCAACTAAGCTGATTTGAGAATACTAAAAGAACGTAAGTATGATTCGAAAAACTCACTTAAGTATAAGAGAAATATTTTTATTCGTCGTGATTTTCTCCATCTGATTATTATGCTGTTAAACACGGAGTAGTCTTACGTCTCTCGTTTTAAACTTCGAATAATTAGAAAATCGTCCTCACAGTATAAATAAATATTAATTATATGTTCATCCTCTTGAAATAGTGAGTTATACCTAGAGATGAAAACAGGGATTTTTCATATAATCGTCAATTATTAATTTCATGAAATACTCAAGTAACTCGTTAGAGAGAAAACCTTGCAAAAAAATATTTCTATTTGTTTTTAATAAAGAGAACACTACTAAGCAATTACAGGATCTCATTCAATGAAGATGATACATCCAAATTAAAAAACTATCATTCTCTGCCTATTGTTTCTAAAATACACAATAGTCCGTCGTCTACTTCCACCAGTTCTTTTCCATTCTAGAATCGACTTACTATACACTCATCGTCTTCGTCTTCAAAAACATCAATGACTATGAATATGAACACTACCTATTTCATTCTAGCGATTTTTGTATTGATTTGTGCATCGATTGCATTTCTCGTGTCCGTCGGAGTACTTTCTCTCGTTATATTCCATCGACAACGAACTCGTAATAGTACATCAATTCTTCTCATCTGTAACACATACATCTCAATTTTATTTATTAGTTTTATCATGCTTAACATGTATGCTTACAATCTGTTTGGTGATCTACGTGAGAATATTTCGTTTGTTGCCGATTGGTGGTGTTATGGACGTGCGTATCTTCTCAATGCTTCATTTGCAACATTGTATCATTCATATGTTCTACAAGCGAGTTTTCGCTTTTGTCGCATTGTTTTATACAAACAGAGAAGACTACAAAGCTTTCATTTCATGCAACGAGTTGTTCTAATTCAGTGGTTATTCGACTTTATGTGTATGATATTCCTTTTGTTCGAACAGCGTTTGCAATATATTCCTGATTATTATTATTGTCAAGTACTATATACAAATTTCTCAATATTAGTGTCAATTTGTGCTTTTATCTATTTCGTACCCATTGTACTGATTGGAATGATCTATTTTTCTATCATCTGTTACATAAGAAAGTTTAAAAGTCAATCGATATTACAAAACCGTCAATTGTCGAATCAACGTGATCTTGTTGTTCTTCGTCGAAGTATTATCTTAGTCTTTATGCTCGTTTTCCTTTCATGTCCTGCTTCTATACTTTGGCTGTTCTCTATTATTACGGGTTACTTATACCAAATAACATATCATTTACAATGGTTGGCATTCATGTTTGCACTCGCGGTTCTTTCAGTTTTAGGACTTACCATCACACCACAATTGTGTACATTGATAAAAATGCCTTGGATACGAAATCATCGTATTCAGCCTACGATACATGTGAATAATTATGGATGAAAAGAATGATTTCACCGACGTCATATTTTATTTTTTTATCAAATTATTTTCTTGACGATATGTTCTTCTTTTTCAAGAATAGTTTTATTACATTAATAAATAAGAACTGCGTTAACACTTTAATTGATGAAGGTAGATCATGACAGCTCACAAATATTCTTAAACTAACTTTCAAATCATATTCTCGAGCGTCGAAAGAACTCTCGTCACACACCACCAATGAATCCTTGTTTTAAATTGAGTATTGTACTGATGATAATCACACTAGTGGTGGTAGTCATCACTCTACCAGCTGTTCTTTCTACGCGAAAGAAAACTAGTCGAAGCCAACCAATAGGTATGCTAATTATCAGAGCGACTTTGTTCAGAAATGAACTTTTCATCTGTTTAACAGATTCGAGTTCATCCACCGTTCGACCAATAACAACAACGAGTAACTGCTAAAGCTTCAGATAATTCTATCCGGCTGTTTTGTCCTATAGATCATTCAAACAACACTCGTAGTATAAGCACTACGACTGTGACAACGAATGCAACAACAGAACTGATGACTAGTTATCAAGTTGATGGACTGGATACAAGTAACGAGTACACAATATATTTGAATAATTTTTCTCTTGTTTTTTTTTTCTCGATCAGCTATTACAAGACAGATGTCATCGCATTATTCATCAGTAATGACTAAGAATAGCAACAGATTCTGCTCTAAATATCCTTGTTACGACAATTTTTACTACTATGAAGCAGTGCAGTTCGATGTCTCAACAACTGCACATTACAAATTTGAGTTTAAGTCAGAAGCATCCATATGCTTTTATCTCTATCGTGATAGTTTCCATCCAGCTTATCGATATAATCATTTAGTGACAACAGACGGCTGTACCGGATTTTCAGATTTGCGCAAAGTGAAAATCATGCTATACACCATGATTAACTACATCCTAATAATACCAGTCCTGTATTCCCAAGATCCTGAGAAGATCTCAATTGATGCGACTGGTCCGAATCTGATCAAATTTACTGCATTACAAATACCAAGTAAAGTTTAAAGCAGAACTGTTCTGATTGTGTATATCTTCTTTGTTCTCAGTACATAATGAGTCGAACAACTATGCGTTTCAACAGTCAGTTTTAACACTGCAAAGCCCAATCTTTTGTGATGGGGGACCATGCGGGAATCCGATATGGAGAAACTACTATGCAATTTTTCAGATCAACGTCTCAATAACAGAATTTTATTGCTTCTCACTGAAATTATCGGACGCTTATTCGGTTTTTCTTTATCGTGACAGATTTCGCCCTTTATTTCCAGTCACTCATGACAGGGTAATCAAAAATGCTACGCTACTTCTGTAGATAGAGATTCTTTATTTAGGCACTTATCACTGACGACGACTGTTTGCTGTTAGAGAGTGCGCAGAAATATATACTGAACGTATATAGCATCGATGATACAAAATCTACGAAGTTTTTGGTTAATATCACCGGTCCTGGGCTCATCGATTTCTTCCCAATCGATATAACAGGTAAATCTTAATTCAAACTCATGTCCCATTCAGTATTATCAAAATCTTCATAGATAATTTGACTGAAACAATGCACCACAAGTACAGTATTCGTCAATGTTAACCAACAAGAGTCCATTCTTTTGCCAACGAGAACCATGTCCACAATCAGTCTATTATTATGAAACGATTCTAATGAATGTCTCTACAACTGATTATTATGCGATTTATTGCAACAGTACGATGAATCTTTTTGCTTACTTGTACAACTCTACGTTTGATCCTCAACTACCGGAAGATAATCTAATGGATGATGTATTTGCTTTCATTGACGCAGAGAACATGTTTACACCTTTGTTTAAGAAGTTGTTGTTATCATCAATGGATTATGTCATTCTAATCACTACTGAAGAATCCAAAACAACGGGATCTTTTACAATTTCTGTCATTAGTGATCATCCTGCAAATTTATTCAAAGTTCTTTAAAGATTCTTTGTTTTCAATTCCTGTTTTGTACAAGGAGAAGCTAAAATTACTCGAATGCTGTTCATTTCATTGTCAATAAATATCAAATCATCTCTGTCATCTTGATTCAAGTCAATCACATGTAACGATTGAAAACATGTTTTGTTCATCCTTCCATTGATGACATCTGTTTTGAAAGATAAATATTGTCGATCGAAAAGTCCGACATCCGTTCCCACAAAGATTGTTACAAGTCCATTGCAATGTAATATTGCTAAATCATCATTTCCATCGTTGTTGAAATTGATAACGGCAACTGACGTCGGATGCGTACCGGTTAAATACAATATTTGAGTAAATTGAAGATTTTCAGGAGTTGTCGGATAAGAAACAAGAACATGTAGAATGTTCGATTCAGGAAAAACATATGCTAAATCATCGATAGCATCACCATTGAACTTGCCTACAATTATCTTTGATGCATAACCAAACTCAGATGTTGTCAAAGTCGTACGATAAAGGAAATAAGATTCCGAAATGGAATCACGACTAAATCTATACATATCTATATCGCCATTCATCAACATTAACGCTACGTCCGCACCCTTCTCTTCGTTATTGAAATCACCGACATAGAATGAAATGTATAGATTGCTTATGTAGAAATCTTCTTTTGAGATCTTTACTTTTTGGTAGCCGTTAACATTCAGAAAATAAGTTATATCACCTTCGTTAGACTCTTTATCTTTGACGTGACTAACGATCACATCGATCCAACCATCCTGATCTAAATCACCCGTACCGATCGCGTTTGGTGACACTCCATGTTTCAATGAAGGTAAGATCTTTGGTGGTACAACAAATAGATTATCATTTTTCACTCCAAAATATATCACGATTTTCTTTGCTCCTGGCAAAGTGACAACTAAAAAGGGAGGCAAGTCATATTGATTCACACGATATATCACTTACCCAAGTCCAATAGCCGATCATTATTAAAATCTGCAACTAAGATCTCTTCTGGTCGAGATCCTTTACCTGTTGGAAAACTACCTTTCATCCCAAATGTTCCATTTCCAGTTCCCAACATGATGCTCAGTGTATCTGACTTCCTATTCGCCACAACTATATCAATAAATGAATCTTGATTGAAATCATCGATAGCAAAAGATATCGGATCAAGCTGAGTCGCATACATCTGGGATTCATATCTCAATGTCATATGACAAGTCTCTATGATATAAATAATAATCTGACAACTTCTTCGTTTCATTTCCGTGATTCTTACTCGACGATGCCGATGTCGATTCAACATCACGAGGATCACTAGTAGTAGTAGTTGAATAGACAGTTGACAGAAGAACAGCTTGTTTTTTCTTTCGATTTCCAACCAAAACGATCGATGCTGTCACGATTGCTAATATTGCAATGAAAATCAAACAAACCAACAAGAGCCGATCGCGGCGAATCCTCTCTCTAAAATCAAACAAACGATAGTTAATCGATTAAAAGGAATCACTCACGGTGTTCTTTGTTCTTCGATAAGATTCAAATCTAGTACTGGTGTCACCGATTCCTTCATCGATTTGTTGTATTTGTTCTCGTGCAGTTTCATTTGACTTCTCCTCCTTCTATGATCAACGATTTTATAGAATACCGTTGCAAAACATTTCATCAAGAAATGAAACCCATTGGTTAAACCACCAAAAGCGGAAACTAGCATTGTTGCCATATATATAACGTCATATTCAACAATCGCAGAATATTGACATACGTCGGGTGCGCATTCTTGATAATAATCAGCAAACGAAACGTGTTCCGTCCATTTCCAAACAAAGAATCCGTCAAGAAGCATTTCAATTGTCTGATTCAAACGTGTTGATGATGTAAGAATCTCGGCTATAACTGGTGTCACCTTATAAAATGCTGATTGCATCAAACTTACACATGTTTTGTTATAAAGACAACTTAAACTTGATTGAAGAAGAGAATCAAAAGGTAAACAACCAAGACGAAAGCCAACAAGAGTTTCATACAATGAACCATTTCTCGCTGAAAATGGTACTTGGGACAGTTTCGAACAATTCCAATGTGCGCCACATGAACATTGATTTTCATCAGTAAATGTTCGAGGTCGAGTTAACATTGGTATTTGTTGATTTTTCCCTATTGAGAACATCACGTTGAGATACTTGGCCGTAAATATCCAATTGTTGTAGTAAATAGTAGCTAATTGATTGCCATGATTCGTTATTTCAATCAGTTTAAATGCTTCGATGAATTCAGTAGATATCTTTGTTTTGAATTGTTTGATTAACAGTTTAATTCGAATAGGAAACTCAACTTCAGTAAGAACATATGCAGTGAAATAATCGGATTGGAAGAAGATTGTTAATGACATGTTTAACATATGTTGTGAAATTTGACAAAGTATGGCCAATGCTTGAAATTCTTGACGAAGTCGATGTGCGACGGTTTCCAATTCGATCATTTGCGAATTAGGAATAGCAGATTCAGTTATACTTTGAAACCACTGTTCGGATACAAATATACTCGAACAAATTTCATGATACTCAGGTTGAAGTCGAGTGATGATTTTCGAATATTTGATTGACATATTTGAACAAGGACAATGAAGTGTTAGAGAATGTTCAAGAAATAGTTGTTGATATGTTGCAAGTGACGGATATTCGATAACGATGGTTACCATTTCTTGTTTCAGTAATGTATAAGCAATTAGAAGAGAAAAGGCAGTAATCAATAGAATCAAATATATTCGAGTAGTACGACGATTTCGACGAATAATTCTTGGATCATTGTTAACAGGAATTGTCTTGAAAAGGCTTAATGTTGTTATCCATTTTTGACTATTGAGAAACAAATTAACAATACACTGTCTCCTTGTTCTTCGTGATTGTGACGTTCGACGAGTAGTCAAATACTTCCACAGTTTCATTACGAATTTCATAATCAATGGTAAAAATAAATATAGAACCACATTGATACCACCGAGAATTCCAATTGATGTTGTTACAATGTAGATGAAATTCACTCGATTTTGATAAAAATATTGACATGTCAATGCATGGCATTGATTGAAGTAGGATTGAAATGAACTGGAATTCTTCCACGATTGGACGAACAGATCATTGACTAATTCTTCTATTCGATCATGTCGACGTTCATCAGATGACAATAATGAAGAATTCAGTGTGGTAATATTAATCAATGGTTGCGATGGATCAATGAACTTTGTAATATGAGAGAGACATGTTTGGTTGTAGAAACATTCCAATGTGGATTTCAGAAGTGCTTGAAGAGGAAACCATGTTTGAAACATTCCATCAATAGGAAATGTCTGATTGATTTCTTTTAATTGTGTTTGTCGATGACATTCATATGATGCTTGAGAAAAGCATCGGCATGAATCAGAACTAGATTCCTCTTCTGATAGACATTTCTTTTTATCTGATCGTGTATATTGATATGGATGGATAGGGATTGGTTCGTCTTTGTCTTCGAGTATTGTTAGTGAGAAGAAAGAATTCATTGGTGTAATGAATTGATTAATTTCGTAGTTGGTTTTCAGCAATTGAATTGTACGTTGATATGAAACAGGAACTGTTCGTTTGAATTGTTCGATTAATAAATACGTTTGAGTTTGAAATGAATTCGGATGAAATAGTTCATTACTTACAAATGTTGTTCGATAGAATAAATTGAGTGAATCTATGATTGTTTCGTTCGCCATTTGACATAACGTTGAAAGGAGTTGAAAATGAAATTCTGATTGATAACGAATATCATCTGTTGTAAGACTTACTCGAGGCGATTTCACAAATTTCACTTTGATCCATTCAGAAGAAATGAAATGACTCGAACAGATTGGATGATATTCTGGTTGAATGTCAATGATAAGTTGTTGATCAAACGTTGTCTGACTACATGGGCAATGCAGTGAGCGTGGATATTCTTGATAAAGACGAAGGAAACTACGAGCGGATGGCGACGTAATTGTAACGTAAATAGTTTCTGATCTGAGGGATATGAAGGTTGGCACAATAATGATTGTTACGATCATACAAATAACATAGACTTGTGTTGTATAACGTTGCCGACGAAGAATAGTTGCGTCCGGTGACGGAGGAACACTGGTGAACAAATTCAATTCAATCCACTTTTGTTTCAACGTTTTCAAGAACTGTCGCATTCGATCATTTCTTTGTACAACTATTTGTATAATTGGAGCGACACGATTTTTCCTTTGCCGGATCCGTTTCCAAATTATTGGCCATAACGTCTGAACCAGAAATGAAGAGATAATTCTCAGCGCAGACGATAATCCACCAAACAAACTAATCAATGTTGTTAAGACAAATAAAAAATCATTTCGTTGAATAATCGTGTATTGACACGAGATCGGTGCACATTGATGAAAATAATCTTCGAACGATGTTTCATTCCACCAATTAGTAACAAACATTTGTCGAACCAATGATTCCACAGTGATGACATCGAAAAATGAAGAATTCAGAACTGAATATCTGTCAGATGATTGTGTTAGAATGTTCAAAAGTGTTTGATTGAATACAACTTCGAGTGTCGAATGAAGAAGAGCAGTTAACATATAACAACCTGTGTAGAAACCACGAATAACGACGCCTTTGTATGTTGCCAGGCCGAAACAAGTATTAGCAGATGAACTTGAACAAGTACAAGGTGAACGGTCTTTAAATGTGTATTTCACTCCATCATAAGGAATGTTCTCTCCGACCATTATCAGATGTTGATTCCTTGGTAGAACACTGGTTATTGAAGCGCCAGTCATGAGGAAACTTTGTGCGGTGATGTTCTGAATGAAATTCAACGTGCGTATGAATGTTTTCGGTGTTGAGTCAATGAAATTGTTGACAACAGAAGATATTTGCTGTTGTAGATCATCGGATGAGATGAGTTGAGTTTGAATAAAGTTTGTTTGAAGAAATACTTTGACATTCTCAGTCAGCGTATTCAGGGCCAGTTGGCACAATCTTTGAAGAGTTTGAAATTGAAAAACAGCAATACGATGAACATCTGTTGAACTTGACCGGTTTGTTGTTTTTTCATAGAGTTTATATAAATGTGCAATGAGTGCATCAGAGAGGAAATTATTTTGACATAATGGATGAAATGAAGGCTTCAGTCGAAGAAATTCTTCATATCGGATTGCGACTCTCGTGCAAGGGCATTGCAATGAAAAATGTTTTCGAAGAAGAGAATAATCGTTGAAAGTAGGCGATTGATGAACATAAGTGTGTGAATATGAAATAAATGTATAGTACAATCCAATCATAACAACGGAAACTATGAGAAGAAATAGGTAAAGACGAGTTGTTCGTTGTTCGTTTTTGATAATTGATTTATCTTGGTTTCCACTTTGGAAAAGATTCAAATGCGAAACACGAATTTTGAAAGATCGTCCAAAAGAATGAAGAGTGCTTTTCAATGACATATTTAGTTCACAAATGCCACCTTATGGAAATTGAAAGAATATGTATAGATGTTTGACAACGAGTAAAAGCACGTCATCTGATGATTTATCATGACAAGCGTGAGAATTCATTGACGTCAAAGATTTTATTAGAGCTGCAAATAAACGCAAGAAAAAAACAACTACAGGGCTAAATTTATATTCCGAATAGATCCTGAGATTTTGCAAAGATAGTTGTGTCCTCATCGTACACTAATAAATGTAGTCGGATGAATACTTTGATTTCGTTTCCATAAGATTTGACACCAATTGTATAGTTGTGGTCTTGGCACAACACCTAAAATGGAAAGAATTGCGAGTGATAAAATAGTTGTACACATAACATTAAAGTAAAAAAAGCGTCAAAAGTGGAAGAATACTGTGACGAAGAACAATGATATCACCTTGATTCAATTGTTATCGTTAGTACCGGTATGTAGTAGATAGTTACTGAAGCTAATGCCAGCTCCCGAAGATTTCTATATAATATTTGACAATAATAATAACCCTGAAATATATTGCAGATGACAATCAAATAAAAGAAGTGATAAAGAAAGAAAATCAATTAATCATTGGATTAGAACAACGCGTAATATGAATTGAAAGGTTTACAGTTTTTTTTCACATCTATACAGAACAATGCGACAAAAACTAGCTTGGAGAATGTGCGAATGGTAAAATGAAACATGAAGAACATAGACACATGCATAACACCACCAATCGCCGATAAACGACATGTTCGCATGTAGATCACCGTACAAGTTATAAACGTATCTGTTGAGTATCACAAGACTAGTGAGTGCAATCGAAATATATGTATTAAAAATGAGGAGGATTGATGTACTATTGTAAAGTTTTTGTCGATAAGTTATAATTAGTACAAGTATACCAAGTGAGATCAGAAATGCAATTAATCCACAAATTCATATGGAAATTTCCATTAAAAAATACCTTATATTTTCAAATATCCGATTCTCTCTCTCTACAGTTATCTGTCGAACGTGCTTTCTAGTTAGTGCTGTCCTGTTATTCAAAACTATCTTTTTCCTATAATGGACACAGTCTTTTCGGCCACCGCGCTGTTTAATCGATAAATGAAAAAAAAGTGAATAGTCGTGTATTCAACATTAGCTAGCAGAATGCTTATGTCAGCTAAAGAATTGCTAGATCGGTTCGATATTAGATGACCAATTAGATTTGAGTAATTTGAACCAACATTATGATGCTCAGAGCTCTTTACTATCACTGTTTGTACCTGTTCTTTAATCCTCAAGCATCATTCCAAGTTCCAATCTATCTATAATTATCGCCAAGAGTCTTCAACACCTACACATATAAAAAGTTCCTTCCTTATGGTATTGTACAATATGATTCTCTATGCGAGAGTCTCTACTCAACTCAGTTCGGTACTATTTCAGTACTTCATCCTACGCAAAAGTAACTTCCATCTTGTATCAATACTGCTTTTTCGAACAAAGAACAAAATCACGGAATTTTGAGTTTGCATAAAATTCTGAACGCATACTCTAAAGAAGCACCATTAGCGAATCGAATCAAAATGCAAATTCTGCATCGAGTTTTCACTTTAGAGCTATCCTAATAGGCGTATAATGTCTTGATAGACGGACAGATCAAAAAGAGATCAGCACTTTTATATTCTAAAAAAATTTTTAAAAACTTCGTCACTCTGGAACTGGCAGCATAATGTGAAGGATTTCAAATCCAGACGACATGTTCATAATTCCTGGTGTTATGGAACTCACCAGTTTAGGTAAGAAAATTCACGTCTGGAGCAAAATCGAATCTAATTATATTCTTGTGCTGCGAACACGGTGAAGAAAAGGGCTGGAAATTCTCACAAAAAGATTAATGCTCGTCCCTTTTAAGCGAAGCTAAATAGAAACAAGTAAGCGATTTTAAAAACTACAAGTCTCTGTCGAATCATACTTGGCTCCAAGGCAAAATTCGTAAAACCCTAGAAGAGTTAACTTATTAGATATAGATTTTATTTCATAGGAAAATTACACTGTGTAGTCATAAGTTAAAATTCATTGATAGATGTCACAGTTACATGCCGTAAGTTCTACATCTTGAAAAAGTAGACATGATGTAAAACATCGTCAACTTGAATGAATAGCTTGAATATAGATGAATATTAATAACTTTTTTATTGCACAAAATCACAACAGCAATGGACACATTAATTGTAGGAGGATCACAGATGAAAACAACACCAAACGACAATTTAAATCTACGTTTTACCATGCCATTCTCGCAATGATACTTCCAGGATATCGACGAACACAAAGCTTTCGAACTTCATCAATCACCAGCCAAACTATTCCAAAACCGATAGTAGGGGTCACATACTTTGCAGGTACAGGTGCTGTACCAAATATATCATTGAACCAGGTCGCTTGAGTCAGAAGTAAAACAAAACTAACTGATACTAGGATGGCAACTAATCCAAACCAGTTTCGATTTTGACCCCAAAATGGATTGTGCTGGAAAATGGATGCATATCTTGTTCGTGTGGCAAAGAAGTTAAAGATTTGGAATATGCACAGTGAACAATAATAGACTGATTGAGAAATATTGATCATCTGATCCAGCTGACGTGAATTGTAGCCTGCTGGATTACTGACACCGAAATTCTCGTAGGAAAACATAAGCGAATAGAACGATATACCGTTGTCAACCCAATAGTAACAAAAACAGAAGAATGCCGTGAAACACTCCAGATTACCAATGAGCATATAAGCATGAAAAAGTAGCTTCATATTCAGCAAGTGATCCTTCTTTCGGTTCGATGGTGGTCGTGTCAAAATCTCAGTTTCTGGCTTCTCAGAAGCCATGGCCAATGATATACTCACATCTAAATCAACGAATATGCAAAGACTCTCTTTTGAAGACAACAAGGATCAATCATACCATTGAGTACACAAAGAATTGTTGCTAAGAATGCCGAGAGTGATAGAGGAACACCAAACCACATGTTGAACATGATTGGCCAAAACTCTGACCAAGAACCTGGTGCATCAATAGAAACGCGTGACATTCATATCCTATCTCGACAAAACCATACCTGCAGGTAACAAGTAAATGACTACTTTCTTCAAGTTATCAGCAAGAAGTCGGCCTGTCTCGATAGCTGAGATGATCGATGAAAAGTGATTGTCGAGCAGAATCATGTCACTGGCTTCTTTCGACACACTTGTGCCCGTTTGCATGGCAATACCAAGATCAGCATATTTGAGTGATGGCGCATCGTTCGTTCCATCGCCAATCGCTGCTACGATTTCTCCTCGTCGTTGGAACTCCATAATGATGCGCAGCTTTTGTTCCGGTGACGTTCGAGCAAAGATCAGTTCTTGATGGGACAACACCCAGTTCCACATGAAATCATCCATATAAGTGATTTGTGAGCCAGTTACCTAACGCACATTCAATCAACATTAAATCTGAAGAAATCTCACTAATTTACCACGACTGCATATGGCATCTTCTCTTTCTCTTTCTGCTTGTAAAAGATTGGTGTCGGCTCAGTGAATTGTGCTTTGCATGACGAAAACCACTGTTTATACAACGATTCTTCTTTCATAAAGTCGTTTTTCCGACTGTGTTTCTCGATCGCTTTTGTTGCCTTGCTTCCGAAACGAAATGGTGTGATAACACCAATCATGTGCTCTTTCAATAAGGCTTCATTGCGATACAATCGGAACACCGAATGATTGTTGTCGTTCTCTTCGATTTGGAATGTATCGATGCCATTTCTCTTCGAGATGTCTTCTGAGAAGATGTTCACCTGTCGAGCAATAGCTGTTGCTGTACCTGGATGATCACCAGTGATTATAGCTATGCGAATGTGTGCTTGACGAATCTTGAGTATCGAGTCTGGCACATCGAATCGAGGTGAATCAAACAATGAAAAGAAACCAATAAAACAATAGCTATCTGCTGGAAATCCATTCAGATCTTGGTTGAACACAACCCCAGACCGTTGTCTCTCTTCATATTGCTGCATGAGTTGGTCATATCGCATCTGTGTCATCTTCTGTTGACTCATGGCAATAACACGATAACCATTTCTACCTACAAGGATTTCATCATAATATTTTCATGACTAGAATAAAACGGGTTTTACTTAACATTTCTTGTCGATGGAGGAACTTGTCTTTGATTTCAGGGGTGAGTGGTAACATTTGTCCGTCGTTGGTCTTGTACGATACGCAGCGATGAAGGATGATTTCTGGTGCTCCTTTCATTGTTAAGAGAATGATGTTTTTGTGTGCTTCGAGACGATTGGCAGTGATCATGAACTTGTTTGCTGAGTTGAACGGTAGAGTTCGGTGGCGTGGATTGAGACAGCGTATTTCATCAATCTGCATTTGATATTCGTAGACGCAGAGATTGTAGAGAGCGATGTCGACCGAATCGCCGACGACATGCATTTCTGCATTGATTTTTGTAATGCTTTGTTTATGCGGCGCGTCTTTGACGATTCGTATTTTTGCGTTGTTGCACAACGCAGCACCAAGAAGCAGATCATCAAACACTTCCACTCGTGTTGGATCTTCCACGCTCTCGACGACAACTGGTGATCTTTGAACGGCTGGAGATACCTTGGCTGTAGGATGAGGATGCTCAGGAAGGGATCCAACAGATAGTCGACGGAGCGTGTGTGATTTTCTCACATTGGTGGCTGACTTTCCTTCTTCATTTCCTATGATTATGTATTCGCAGCTGGTGTCCCAAAAAATCTCGCTGACCACCAATTTGTTTCTTGTCAATGTACCTGTTTTATCAGTAGTGATTACTGAGACAGAATTAAAACTTTCGACGATCTGTAAACTTTTGCCTAATATGCGTTGCTCAGTCATTCGTTTAGCCACTATTGCCAATACTATAATACGCAAAGTAAACGACGTGAATTGATTGCTCACTTTTTCTGTCACTTACCAAGAGTGATAGCTGATGGCAAACCGACTGGTAAGAAACTAACAATCATCCCAATGGAATTCAGAATATTTCCAGTAAAAGTGATAAAAATTGGATGATAATAGTTTAGCCAGCCTGACCAAGTGATCCACAGAACGATGATACTCAAGATGTCAGCCACAAGAACAAACACTACAAATCGATTCACCTCACGATGAAGATTAGTAGTTTCATCACTTGAACTATCTTGCGTTGTTGTTTTTGACATCTTGCCTAGTACAGTATTGTCACCAGTTGCAACCACGATAGCTTCCCCCATTCCTTGTTCTACAAACGATGAATAAAAGCCGATGTTAGTTGATTCCATCAGAGTTTGACTAGTGCAGTGCACTGTGACTGAGATTGGTTTCGTTTCGCCGGTGAGTTCTGCTGAATTGATCTAAACAAAACAAATGGAGAAGTGACTAATTCGATTCGATTCGTAGAATATGCACTTTACCTTGAGTCCTTCACAAGTGAGAAAGCGACAGTCAGCTTGCAGCACGTCACCCATGTGTATGAGAATGATGTCACCTGGAACGAGTTCGTTGACAGGAATCTGTTGTTCCACACCATCTCGGCGAACAGTAGCAGCAGTTGGTAGAAGTTTTGAAAAGGATGCAATGACCTTGATTGATTTGAGTTTTTGATAAACATTGAGAGACGCATTGCAGATGATGACTAGGAAAAGTACAATGCCAAGTCCTAGATTTGTAATCGATGGATTGGATCCACCGAGTGGTTGATAGGCAATGAAAGCAAGAATGCCACCAAACCAGAGAATGGAGTTGAAACCCATGAACAGTTGTTGAAATAATAGGCAAAAGTAATTTTGTGATTGTGGTGGAGTAATTTGATTGGTACCATAATGCAGTTGAGCATCATTCACAAAGGCAGCCGATAATCCGTAACGCTGATTGGAATGAAAACGTCGGAAAATAGTGTCGATTGAAACGGTGTGAACATCCTGATCAGGTCGAGACATGTCAGTGTTGATCCATAAATCAATGTTCGAATGTCTTCGTGCTGCCATATTAGCTGCGTGGTTCAATTATTACTCTTGAGAATCATGTTTGCTTTACAATCTAAAACCAATGAAGTAAACCAGCGAAAAGAGATATGCATCCGATGTAGTTACTTTTTTTTTAAAAAGACTTAAAATATGTTATACGACTTCATTTGATATTTCCTTATATAACTACCAATGTCTATCTCGTGCGTCATCGCACTTTTTTACTTGTCAAATGGAAGATATAACCTAGAGCAGAATTCATCTATATCTATGCCTAACCGAGGACATTCACATAACCAGATCTCATTTTAATGACGACCTCCACTGAACGATCCGTTTTCTCATTAAGAACAGTTTCTCATCGTTGGGGGCAGGCATGCCAAAGATACCACTTCTACTACTTCTAAAAAAACTGGAAGTATCATGTATTTCGAACCAATCGTAAACGAACAGAAACAGCACAGACTTTGTCTTGAGATCATCAACTAACTGATTAACAGCATCAGACGGGGTGATAGTGACTTCTGATAAAATAAAAATTTGTTTTCGTAGTAATAAAAAATTGAAATTTACTTGTATGAAAACAGCGGTTAATATTGAACTTCGAGTTTTATGTCCTTGAAGAATCTTCCATATCTGTTTGAAGTATATTTAGAAATAATTTTCTTATAAAAATGGAAAGCTGTTCAGCATGTAGTTGCGAGTGAAAGTCGTTTAATTATATTAAAACGGAAATGACAAGTTCCTCTAAGGATAAAGCATACCATAAGTTGAAATATGTGACTCATGTCTCAAAGTGAACTCGAAGGTAATTAAAAGTCTAAAGTTCTTTATCTTGAAATCTATTTATGTCGTTCGGTATATACGATACTTAATGTCTTTTTATCCAGTAAGGAGAAAGATCAATAACTTTTATGTGTTCGCAGAAAAAAAGATGATAAGGATAGATTATAATTTCAGCTTTGCGAGAAAAGAATAAACAAGACGTATCGTTGTCGATGACAACAAACAAGCACTGAATCAGCTTTTTGAAGTTGAATGATCTTGTTTTGAATTGCAACAGATAACAAGACCATTTTTCTGACTAGAGGACGTATCGGTGCTGATGAAGACTACATTTCTGCGTTGTTCTTTCTTTTAGATCTCACGTCACTTTAAAAAAAAACGTATATTTACATACTCATCCATTGGAAAAAAAGAAGAATATGAGAAATTTGTTAATGACAAATTTTCTTAAAAAGTATCAAGAGTTCAACGAGACTATAATCTATTTTATGAGGAGAACCATCAGCAAATGATATAACCATCATGCATACAACGTGTGTAAAAGAGTGTGCTATACGATTTTCTTTAACGACGAGTGAACAGATTGTATTCACCAACATGTAAAAACAATGAACAAAGGATGTTTGTGATATTCTTCAGTTTATTCATTCAAATAGAACAAAAATAATTTCTGAAAGGATTTGATTGTCTGTTCACACTCTCGTTGATTGTCAATTGGTCCCTCCGTTACTCCATCGACTATTTCATCCAACAGACCTTTATAGATCTCTTCACTCTACTCTCGCAATGGAAAACTCTCATTGTTATCGAGTAAGCACCAAGTTCATTTCACGGGGTTCCTTTTACATCTTAAATAAAATTACAATTAGACCAGAGATCATCTTCGAAAAACGGCGTAACGAGCCCAAACGATGAGTTTTTTCTCCAATTATGTTATTTTGTGAAAAAGAGTTATATTCAATTCTGTTATGGTTTTCGATTGACACGAGTCTATTTCCAACGAAATGAACAAGAGATCGTTTCAAAAAAGAAAGGTTGTACCTACTGATGATTTTCTTCCTCTTCTACTCTATGTTCTTGTTATGACATCGAAATAAAATACCGCAGACATCACACTTCCTCAATTAACTTTTACATCTAATTGATTGATTGTAATGATTTCAAAAGCACATTGCTAGTAAATGGTGAATTCAGATTAAGCTCTACTATATTTTGCATTTGGTATCTGTTCCATTATCTTTGTTTTCTCTTCCGCCTTGTGAATTGGCTTAATCGCTCGAGGCAAGTGTACAAAGTTCTCCTTTCATTTTATCAATAGAAATTAATCGATTCACGTTGCCATTTTTGCTCTTTTATGACCGTATAAATTACATAAAAACTCATCGTATGGTCGCTTTCCAACTACTTACTTCTCGATTGTCATTAAAAATATACGTGCACCCTGACAAAGTATAGAGTAAAAGAATGATTAACTCGACCGTCATACCGATTCCGGAGATTCCTATTCTTAACGACACTTCTTCATTTCATAAGCCATTAAACAATCGTCCGGTATCTCGACATTCTCTATCAATTGGCACACTTTCGTTTCGTAATATAAGATACACTATTAGTGATTCATTTATCCGCAACGTGCGTACATTACTTGGCGGTTCTTCTTTCCAATCTGAATCCCGAAAACAGATTCTGGATGATGTGTCTGGTATTTTTACATCAGGATTGAATGCCATTATGGGTGATTATTCGTTTTTTCTTCTTTATTCAATAAGATACATCATATTTGTTTACAGGGCCAACTGGATGTGGAAAATCTTCACTGATCGATGTTCTTGCCGGTCGAAAAGATCGGAAAGGCTTATCCGGCGAGATATTTCTTGATGGTTTGCCCATCACATCTTCGTTCAAATACATGGCTGGTTATGTTGTTCAAGACGATATTATATGTGGAACACTAACGATACGAGAGAATATCATGTTCGCCGCGAATACTCGTCTCGGAGCGGGGCTTTCATTCGAAGAACGCAAAAAGCGTGTTACACAAGTGATTGAACAGCTCGGACTCACATTACGTGCAGATACAAGAATAGGAACGGAATTGTCTCGTGGTGTGTCTGGCGGAGAACGAAAACGGACATGTATTGGGATGGAATTAGTCCTTAAACCAAAAGTCTTGTTTCTTGATGAACCAACCACAGGTTTGTATGACGTTGATGAGATTTTTCAAGTTTTCGTTTGTGGATTTAGGTCTTGATGCATCGACAGCACAAAGTGTCATCGAACTTTTGAGTAAATTATCCAAACATGGACGTAAGTTGTTGTCTTGTCGAATAGCAAAAGAAAGCTAATTCTATTACAGATACAATTGTACTTTCGATTCATCAACCACGCTATTCCATTTTCAATTCATTCGATAGAGTAGTTTTAATGTGCAAGGGAAAAATAGTTTATAACGACTCACCGCAAAACGTTTTGCCTCATTTTCTGCAGGTCGTTTACAAGCGTCAAGAACATGAAAATCCTGCTGATCTCACATTGGATATTCTTATTGACGCGAATCGGAACGATAAAATTTTTTACAAACTAGTCCAATATTACCATAGGACACCAATTTGTCAAAGAATACCTTCTCAGATTAATGAACAAATACGAGCGGCTGTTATAGCTTCCTCTTCTTCAAACGAGAAAAATGTTTTCAAACGGTCGTTTCGAAGAGAATTGTATTATCTATCGAAACGATCGTTGACCAATACAATTCGAAATCCATTGTTATTCCTATCCCAAATTGCCGTGGCAATATTTGTTGGCTTGTTAATTGGTCTCGTTTTTTTTAATATAACAAAGACCATCGATCCTGGTGTACCGAATCGATTGGGAGCGATATTCATGATTGTGTCCAGTCAAATCTTAGCGACAGTCACAGCGATTGAACCGTTGGTCAAAGAACGGGCATTGTTTATTCATGTAAGATTTGATTGCTTTGTCGAATGAAGTTGTTCTTTTGTAATCTTAGGAGATTGTGAGTGGATATTATCGAATTCCGACGTTTTTTCTGACGAAACTTACTTGTGATATGTTTCCGCTACGAATTATTCCATCAGTGGTGTTTTCCGTCATTGTCTATTTTCTCATTGGATTGCAATCCAGTGCAAGTCAATTCTTTATTTTTCTTCTAACTGTATTCATGTGCAGTATATTTGGATCAGCTATATGCTTCTTCTACTCTGCACTTCTACCAATATTTGGTAGGAAAACTGGATGAATGGAATACGAATAAATCTTTTTCTTTTGTTTTAGCTGTGGCATTGATTGTCGTCGTACTTGTTTTTGTTGTCATGATGGTATTTTCGGGTTTTATAGTCGATTTGAGTAGTCTATACAGTTGGATAGGCTGGATCAAATGGCTCAGTGCTTTTCGATATGCATCGAATATGTTGACGATCAATGAATTTCGTAATATAACTTTCTGTGTCGTAAATATGACGTCGATTTGTCCGTTGACTGGAACGGAAGTGTTAACAAGAAACGAAATCAAATATGAAACGTATTGGGATCGATGGCAAAATATTTTCGCATTGGCATTGATGTCTGTTTTCTTCTTTGTTTTAGCTTTTATTGAACTAATTCGAATGAAGAAGACAAAATAGAATATCAATGCTTGAGAATTACTATTTAATATTCGTTCTATGAAAGAAATATACTTGTTGGCAAGTAAAGTTTTGTCAACATCTTTTCAATTGATAATTATGTTGGAGAAAAAGTCTAAATAAAACGAATTCACATTTGATTGTAAGATTCAATTAGACGAAGAATTAACAAAATTTCAACACATGCTTCCGATTTCGATCCACAGCTAATAATCTAACTGAGCAAATTACACATCAGATCCCAAGAAATGAAAACCGGTATATTCATTTTTCGGAGTGGCCAGGGAAAATCTGTACAGTGTGCATCTCGCCAGTATGTCACGATAGTTATTGAGAAAAAAATTCTACCGACGTTCAAATAGTGCCAGATTGTCTTTAATCCAATAAGGACAAAGAAAAACACATTTGAAGGGCGTCAATTGTACTTGCGTGAGTGTTTTCGAAGAAGAAAATGATCTTGAATGGAAAATTTTATCTCATTTGCAATTGAAACCTACAGATTTCGATCGAAGGTTCGAGTTCCACTACCGACAAGAAGACTGACCTATAAAACTCAAATGCGTGGAAATATCAAATACTATTCATCAAATAAATAGCTTTTTCATGCATGAAAAATAGACGATAAAATATTATGATGAAACACGATTGCTCGGTTCACTTGGATTGTTAACTAGTCCGATCACGTGGGATTTGGCTTGAGAATACAAATATAACTGCCCCTGACGACACAGATTAAAATAATGAAAGCAAAACATTGAATTTAGTAACTTTTATCTATTTGAATCAATGAATTTACTCACGATTTAGTTAGAATAATAATATAGAGAGACGAACCATCTCAAATTCATACTTTTAGTGTGTCGATCATATGAGCCAATCGAATGGCACTGTAAAAAAGAGCATGTGACTGTAGTTTTGAAAATAGTTTTTTTCAGGTTTTGCTCTGATTGATACCTAAGAAGTTTATTCCTTCCAAAATCATCATCTGCCTAATGAGTATCGAACTCGAACGATATGCAACATGAAACTTTCACAACCTATGATATCTGTTTGTTGGTCAACACCTGCAAAACGTATTTTTCTCACTGTTAACTGTTCACTCACGCTCTCAAGAGTTTCAAGTTCTCTTTTTATTAGTTCTAGAACAATAATTACGAGTAGTATAGGTGAAATTATATGACTAATACAGAACAATACATTGAATTGGTAGCGCGTCAGGACTCTTTATATAGATATACATGACGTAGTTATTATAAGAAAGCAGAACGAAACAAGGAATGTATTCATGCATATCACAATTCGTATTTTCATTTTTTTCTCTCGTATATTCATGTCCAAATATTCGATATATATAAAACATAATTGAAAAACAAATTGTACCATCACATTCAAAATAAATATCATGACAGAGAGAAAACTTGTACGACGTCCCAAGAAAGCGATTCGGAAAGATATTTCAACTTTCAATGAAACACATCAAGATACCAATACACGCAAACAACAATATTCAACATTGGTTTCAAGTTATTACAGCTTAACAACAGATCTCTATGAGTTAACTTGGGGTCCAAGTTTCCATTGTGCGAATCGGTTTCGTGCGGAGACATTCGCTGAATCAATTCAACGACATGAATCTTATCTAGCACTACGCATGCAACTGAAACCAGGCGATAAAGTACTCGATATTGGTTGTGGTGTCGGAGGACCATTGAGACGTATTGCATACTTATCAGGTGCACATATTACCGGTGTGACGATTAGTGAATATCAAGTACAACGGGCTAGAGAGATTGGTAACAGAATATTCTCGACATCATTTGTTTTTTGAGAAAAAGACAATTGAAATTGTATTTTAGATGTGCCAGCGAATTGTGAATTTGTTCATGGTGATTTCATGAATTTGCCATTTGAAGACAATACTTTCGATCATGTTTATGCCATTGAATCTGTCTGTCATGCGCCAAATAAGGTACATTTTGAGATTTGTTTTCATACAATTACATTTAGTTTCTGTCGATCATGATTTAGGCGAAATGCTTGGCTGAAGTTTTTCGTGTCCTTAAACCTGGTGGTTCATTTGTTGGTTACGATGCTTGTGTTACCGACAAATATGATCGGCAGAATCCTGAACACGTTGAAATCATACGCTCTTTAGAAGCAAACTTTGCTTTGCCAGAACTCCGGCCTACTGCTGAATTCGCTTCAGATCTTGAATCTGTTGGATTTACTGTTGAAGAAAGTCGAATCATTCCCGATGGTGATGTTCCTGATTATCAACCATTTGACAAAGGTCCTTCGTTGCGCTCATGCAACTATCATCGTACAGGTCCTCTTGCTCGACGATTGGGACACTATATGATCTGGCTAACAGAGAAGATTCGTTTAGCTCCGAAAGGCAGCACTTTGATAAGTACGACGTGTCAGAAATCAGTGGCAGATTTCTTGCGCGCTCGTAAACTTGACATATTTACATCGTTGTACTTTTTCTTTGCTCGGAAATCTACATTTTAAAAAAAAAGTATCTACTAACGTTCGATGATTTTCTTTTAAAGATCTCTTTTGCCGTGATGGAATATGTTGCATATGAATGATCTTTAAAGTAACAATTTTGATGTATAATACTTCACTTAAATCAATACAAGAATTCTCTTTCGACGAGTTGCACTTGTTGAGGAGTATTAGCAAATTTTCATGATATTTTTCTGCTTACTTGATAAAAAAAACCAACCAGAAGATCGTCTATTCGATCGAAAAATGTACTATTCGGACGAAAATTTCTACCGATTGTTGTGAATTGTTCACATCTCAACTAAGACTGACAATCAACCACAGCTCTACTCGCATAAATATAGTCGGAACTGATTAAAGATGGCGCTAAAGAAACAGAAAATAGTCAGTGGTTGTAAACGAACAAATAATATCGTTTTTTGGAAAGAGTTTCATTCAATAATGATAAAAATATGATAATTTATTCTAAATAGTGTTATTATAAATAGATTTTCTGTCATTTCTAAGGTTTCTGTGTTGATGCTATAAGAGTTCGTTGTTGTTCGACGACTTCCATCAGCATATCCATTTCTTGTTTTTGTTTTTCAAGCGCTTCTTGTAATTGTTGAATAATTGCATCTTGAAGTTGTGTCTGTTGCTCCTGTTTACTCAAAATATCTTCCAACTGTTGAATGGAATTGTTCTTTCCTTCAATTTCTTCCTCTTGACTTTTGATCACTAATTTCAATTGAGTTATTTCACTTTGTATTTGTGATAAATCCGAAACATTCGAAACACCTGCTTGTTTGCGTTCGATCAACAGTTGAAGTTTTTTCTTATCTCCATATGTGACATCAAAACTTTTGTAATCATTTTCATCGAAACTGACTAAATCGGCACCGGAAACACGTTCAGCTCGTAGTTTTTCGGCTACTGTTCTCAAGTTCGGATCAAGTCGAGTTAAATATTCATACAATCGGTCGACTGATAATTGATCGAGAGTTTCAAGCGTTCGTGTAGCTTGTTTGGGTTGATTCATTGCTAAATTTGACATATATCCTACGAGGAAATCAAATCGAAAGAAAAACCTATCGAAATGACACTCCGATGAACTTACGTGATAGATATGAATCCTCCAGACGATTCATTTGATCTGAATATTGTTTTGTAATTGGTTCGGGATTAGCTGTTGAAGGTAATTCAATTCGTAACATTGTATGAGATGATAAATGTCCAAAACTTTGTGTTTTATTATCATAACAAGCTGTACAGAGATTATAATTCGAACAGACTTGACATTTATAACGTGCATTTATAAAATCGGTTGTGCTGCAACCATTACAATAAACATCTTCAAGAGAATTTTCCATTTTTTCCATCGTTTTTTCATACAATATCGACTTACTCGATTGTCTTGACATCATGTGAGTTGTATTAAAAGAAAGTATTGAATTGGATAGTTATTTTGATCGAATATACATTTTATAAAAATGACTAATAACACAGAACAGATTAAATGAATAAGAAAAATATTCTGAAGTGACACAAACACTCTCTTGTTGCAATTGAATACTTATTTTTCTATCCTTGACGTATGTAAAAGACACATTTGTCGTTAAAGAGAAAAAGCTTCAGAACAATATAGTTACCCTTTTTTTCTTTCTCCTCTACGAACACAAATAATATGATATATTTTTTTCCTTCATACAGAACAGAAAGAACAAGAGAAGGAGAAGGAGAGAAAGAAGATTGATGAATACATGTGAAGTGTGTTGCACTGTTTGATTAACTTTCAAGTAGAAAAATTCTTGAATGAGTAACATTTAACCTGCACGAATAATTTCGGAAATTTTTGATTTTTTTCTTTTCTAATTAAACTGATAATGCAGTTATTATTAATTATAATGAAGATAATATTGTTTTCATTTGACATTCGATATAATTTTATAAATAAATCTTTTCGTATAGTTAAATGAAACAAATAGATCGATTGATTCACATATTTAAATATTCTAAAACATAAAAATATGTGACTTGATTATATTTGATAGATTTTTATATGATTTAGAAAAGTTGTTATTGATAAAAAGATACAATTTTGTTCATTGAAAAGTGTTTGATCGAAGAAATAAATTGTCTTATTCAATGAAAAAGTGAAAAGAAAATGAAATATTTTATAAATTTGTCTTTTGATCTTCGTGTTTAATAATCTTTTTAATATCCGCTGATTGAACAATTCGAATGTGATTCTTTTTGAAATTTCTTAATTGAAATTTG